AGAAACACCTCCGGCCTCCGGCCGTCGGGGTTTCTTATCCAGACACACCTATCCCTCGGTGTATAACTATTACATATATTGTTTGTCAGCTGAGAGGCAACTTCATGATCTGTTTCGGCCGTTCCAATCATACTCCTACGGCGTATGCTTTTTATTAATGAGTTACCTGTGGTCAATCGGTGTAAATAACGTCATTGAATGATCGACTCTAAAGGGGATATGCTTTACAAATTTATTAATTAATAGAAAAAACGGAATTAATAATATTTATAAAAAAACTTTCTACCCATTTGATGGAATATTACATGTTCGTTTTTAACTGATGAGTACTTTATCTTTTGTTCTTAACTTCTACAGAATCAGAAAAAGAAGAATATATAGACAGAGCAAGATAAAATAAGGGAACATAACATATAATTACATTACATACAAAAACTATTTATTAACCAAACAGCAACTAAAGAATAGACTAACAAAGGAAAGGCAACATGCATAATTTGACATTATATAAAGACCTTAATTCGATTTTCATATCTAATTCAGGAATGTGTTTTACAACAAACAAGTTGGAAACAAGTTTAAATTTTTTGGACAAACAACTATATATGCAGGCTGAAAGTAATTAAGTATCTTATGTTTGGAATATGTAGAACATCCTTGAAAATGTTATCAATTGGTTCTATTCAATTACTTTGTCACAAATAGTTTTGACTTTAAAATTCTGTTAAAATCAAATGTTTATGAATGCGGTCATCATTGCAGTGGTTTTAAGTTTATATAAATATATGTTCAAACTAAAATAAAAGCAAAAAGACTGTTGATTTTCTAAAACCTTTCTGCGACTATAAATAATTAATTTAATTTTTTTTCTTGAAGAGTGTGCTTCATTCCGTCATCAACACACATACACATACACAAAAACAATATTCCAACTTACGTTGTTGCGGACTTTAGACAGGCAAATTAACAGATGGCATGGTTTAACTTCTTGACAACGTTTTTCAAAAGCTTCAATATAGTCCTTTTAAAGAAACATGTAATCAGAAATATTGGAAAAATAAAATTTATTTCCCAAATTCTTGTAACATATCTACGTATGAACTTGTACCTGGTTTTGTATTTATAGATAACAATAGCGGTAAACGTTTTTCTGCGTATGACCTATAACTGGTTTTGCGTCTAATTTGGTGGTTGTGATGTAGTAATAATAATGTGTGTAATATATTTCATTTATCATTTCTAGATATACAAACATATATCATTATTATGTAAGGAAAGAAATCTCATAATTGATATGCTCTGTTCTGCTTTGAATATTGTTAACTTTAAACTGCATATACAAGACGAGACCTCTTGTTTTATACATGTTATATGTGGAAAACCAGATAAGCTATACGTCAATGGAACCAAACAAAAAACTAATTAATTTCAGTTGAATATACGGTCTACAACAAAAGACAAGAGTCTATACCATAGATCAATTTCAAAATCGTCCAGGGTCTACACCACTGCCCAATTCAAAACCGTCCGATTCGAAACGAGTTGTCAATTAACGTAAAACCTTAAAGTTTGTTTCTTTTACTATATATTCATCCAGACCAATATACTATGAAGATTTCTATATATACTTTTATTGGCCAATGCATTGTTTTATTACCAAACGGCTCTTTTTTCCTGGATACTTATAGAATCTTTTTGAAAAATCTACGATTATACAATATTAAATCTATCTACTTATTTCATATATAATATATATATTATTGTATATAATTCACTTTAAATATGTTTGATAAAGCTAGGTAGGGAATGTACTAACAAGAACAACAATGATCAGTTAAATGCATTTTATATCGGAATTGTTACAAAAATAATACAAATGTTTTGCAGATCTGTAGCTGCACTTTGTAGATGAACGTTAATGTAAACTGTATATTGTAGATGCATAGATATGCCTGTTTATTTTCAATTTCATATCAGCAGTATTGTCAAATTTAGGCCGGAGATGGTATAGTGTATGCAAGAATGAGATTCCAAATTACCGACTTATTTCTCAAATTAAAAAGAAAAAAAAAATTTAAACTAGACCATACATTCTCGAACAACTTTGCTACGAGCACGGGTTATGTCTATTTATGTAAAATGCAAAAGTAAGCAACATAAGCAATATAAATGTATCATGAAATATAACATTTCTGAAAGATAATGCTTAAGGATGTAATTAGGTCAGGTTTAGGAATTTTTGTCAGATGTTCGGACTCCTGTTTGTTTTTTTCCTACGATATAGGGTAAAATATTTTGCCCCATAACAACCATTTTTCTTTTCATATAAGACTTGAATAGCTCATAAAAGGTCATTTACCAAAATTTAAGCAGATTTTAGATTTCTTTTCTTTCGATTTAAAACCCAAATAATACCAATGCAAATGTAAGGTAAAAGTCCGAGTCAGCCTTTTCCCACAATTTAAAAAAATAGAATATCTCGAAAAGGAGCTCCATAACCTTCAATATTTTTAGCTTATTTTGTTCCTTAACTAATGCTCTTCTGACTTATATTATCAATTTTAAATTCTATTTTTTTTTAATTTCACCTAAGTACATCTTTAAATGTTGTAGTACGTCTAGAAAGAACTAACTTGTAATTATATTTTCATGGTAAGTTGTTTCAATGACATAAACTGAACATATGTTTTTAATTCACAAATGGAGAAAATTTCTTAACATACAATAAAACTTAAAACATTTCAAAACATAGTAATTTAATTTACAGGGAATGTAATGCAAAACTGTGATACACAATTGCCAACTTCTTTATAATATTTAAAAGAAAAACATATCTTAACTAAACGATAGATCTATGAACTAGTTTGCTACGAGTACGTGTTAATTAGATTTATCTACAATGCGGAAGTAAACAAGGTATACATAATTTAAATAAAACACGATATTCTGGATTACGATAAGTTCCCATTAACCCATAACAAGTTTAAAATAAAACTGTATCACTGTTGTCAAAATCAGTGTATGGATGTGTTAACTCATCTTTTCTGTTGTCTCACAAGCTCAATTTATGCGATTAAAGTCAATAAAAATAATATGATGTATATTCCTAAAACTTTGAATTTTAACCCTATGATATCGATGAAACACGGTTAGTCAGCGGGAATCAAATAGAATCACTAGAATGCAGGCCCTCCAACGAAATATGTAAAAAAAAAACGTTATAAGCATTATGCAACAGCATAATATAATTACATGTATCAACAGGTATCATTAGTAATAATAACAGTAGAATACATGTACACAAATAGCTTTGTATCTAACTGTAGAAGATAAACTAAATATTGGTACAGCCCTCTCACACCCAAAATAAATAATAACTAAAATATAAGAACATAAACCGCAAACATGAAGACACATCCTACTGTTTCCACAAAGCACGAGCATATGAGAACTTGTAAATATAGTTGGCTGCTGTCTCATTAACGTATACCCCTTTTACTTATACTCATTACCTCCCTTTGTACAGTGGTGAAAACACCAACAATAATGTTTTAGACTAGATACACACAAAAACATATGTAATAGGTATATTAGGTACAAATTGTGAGTAACGTTCTCATATATCCCTCCATATGGACTATCATACCAAACGTTAATTAAGTTTAGCAGAAAATATAAGTTGTATCCTACTACTGATGCGTTTGAAAGTGTATACTATACGCGGTATGTACTATAAACGACATACACTTTTTGGTTGATCTCATTTTCAAATTTACTATCTACACCACTTTTGTTGGCGACTTTTATAGATAAATGTGTCTGTTTGTTTGAATTTTTAGTCACTTGGGTTGTATGATAGTTTTTGCTGCTGGATCCCAGTCAAATTATGTCTTTTCGGGTTGCTCATCCAACTTTTTCAATAAAACGGGACTATAAAAAACAAGTAGGAGGGTACGCATGCTATAAAATCATGTCTTTCCCACCGTACTCTTCTAAAAATACCTGTATCAAGTCAGGGATATGGCAGTTGTTTTTCACTTGTTCTGTTGATTAATAGCGTTTGGATTTTGCCAGTTTTTATGGACTTCCCCTTTGTGAATTTGCCTCGGAGATCGCTATTTTTGTTATCCTTTTTTTTTAAATGAGATTTATCCAATATCTATGATTAATTTAAAAATAAATTTTGTTTATCTGTTTTGTTACGGTGCTTTATAAATTTGCTTTGCAATTTCTCTTTTGTGGATGTTTTAAAGGCATAAACAATTTTTTGAAAATTTTAATAAAAAAGATGGTAACAAACAAATGCAACATTCAAAAAAGGCAAAGTATCAACATTCAAACACGTTAAACTATATACAAATATACTATATGAGACAATTATGACATAGTTTGAGCTACTCTATATAATATTCGTAACAATACCATCACATAGTAATTCAATACACAAATTCTTCCGTTTTTCGTTGATTACAATTCGAACAGTAAACATATGTTTCCTTAACATTTGATACAAATATTAAACAATTTCTTATAAATATTTAATACATTTGTAAATCGTTTAATAAACAAACAAAAATCCCTACCAATTTGAATAAATATACAAAATTTGTTGCAACAACTTCAAAAAAAAAAAAAAAAAAAAAAACACATATTACATACACTTAACATAATATATAACAGCCTTGGTCTTTTGTGGAGAGTTGTCTCATTGGCAATCATACAACATCTTCTTATTTTTATATTTGCTTAAAACATTTTCAGTAACATTTTCACGGAAATAAATAACATACTACTACATATGATTCTAATCATGCAAAAGCAGTGACTGGATTTACATAAAGACTGTTTGATTGCGGACGGAAATTACACTCAGCTTACCGTTGAAATGAGTATTTTACAATTTTATATCATAAATGTACAACTATGTTTATATATGTCCATAGGACATTACAATGTTTGTTTCAATAACTCTGGAAAGGTTGTGTTGGATGTAATGAACCTTACATTTCCACTGGTCCATGAGCTGGAGGTCGGGCTGTGGTTCTTTGTACATCATTTACTACCACTCTTGGCTGTGCACATACATAAGCTACTGGAATATAGGTATCTGTTTCTTTGTAATTATAAAATCCATTTTCACAACCTGATTTTTTTAATATCTGGATTTTCTTTTGAATTGGTGAACATTTTTGATCTCCAGAAGCATCTATACACTTGGAACATTTAGTGCTAGCTCTATAGAGTTCATGGGGAAATATTTCAGCGCGATACGGCGTTTTCTCTAAATACCATGGGCATGATGTACGTACCATTAATGGGAGATTAGATCCTTTTAAAAATGTCGAAGGACAGCTGCTTTCAGTTTTATCGACTCCGTGGAATACCAGATGAACAAACGAATTATTCAGTGTGTCTTGTTTCCAACCTTCCGTGAAAAATGATGTCCTGTAATCTACACCACCGTTTAAACTGTTGAATTTAGTTTGTAAGTCTGTAGGGTCTGTACATGTCGGTGCACTGTTAACGAAAATGATACAGCATGTGATGTATGCTAGGACAGCTTTAATGATCTGGAAATGAAGAATAAATATAATTATGTGTTCAAGTTTGTCAGATTTTGAAAATGGCTAAAACTAGTGCCTAGGCAATATAGAAATCGAGCATTAACAAAAAATTATTGAAAATATTTTCTCTTGCACTTTTATAAAATAGTTCAGAAAATATTCGTCGATGATTTAGAATATTCTACCTATTGCTACTAGATGAAATTGAAAATAATGTAAGGTCGAAATATATAGAATTAATTTCTGAATAACCTAAAAATTTGATTTATGTTGCTTACATTGATACATTTCATCATCTTGTCTTCTTGTCTATAGATGCTGCTGTTCGTATTATATTATATAATTATGTAATATTAATGCTAAACAATACATATAAAGTTTTCAATGGATTTATTGAGATCAACTTTTTAAATGACTGGGTGTCATAAGCAGCTGCTACTTAAGTAGTGTGTAATATCTTTGGAAGTTTCAACATGAAATTTTCATTTCCGCTCTACATCTATCATTAGAAACTCTAAAGATAATATAAGTTATCTACGTTCATATCCGTAGATATGGATATTTTAACACCCTGAAGTATCCACGTACATCCTTAGGCGAAGCCGAAGGGTGTACAGGGTACTGAAGGGTGTTAAAATATCCATATATACGGATATGAACGTAGATAACGAATTTATCCCCGGTCTTAGTCCAAATCTGGTGATTTTTAGAGAAATTCGACCACAAAGTGTAACGTGAAAGCAACGTTTTTTTCATTTTTTAAAAATCTTTTATTGAATTTTGGGAATTTGACATATTTTTAACGGGGTGTAGAGTACTTTGGTAGTACCCTACAGGTAGTCAAATATAAGACGTTTGTAATACAGATACAGAGAAACGGGAATGGGTCGAACTTGGCGCTCAATGTTATGAGAGTTACATCATAGACGTTGTGACGTCAACATTAGTCATTTGCATAGCTAGGTCAGTAGTCCCATTCATTGACAATGTGTCAGCCAAGTGATGCATTTACTAAAATGAGTGCAAATGATCTACATTAAAGATAAAACCGTTAGTTGATTACATATTTTAAAATAACAGACATAATGATAATCAACAGAATTCGATATTGCACAAGGAACAACCATGGAACTCAGGAAAACGCGCGTGAAGTTCCCCGGCGTAATGGGTAGCAACGCCCGGGTATATGGGTTAGCAACACCCAGGGGCTATGGGTTTTGTAACGACGTGCGTTAACCAATCAGAATCCTAGAACTATACTAAGCCGGGGATTAGGTGATTTCTTGTCTATAGTTTTAATTTTTTTGTCAAAGTCGACACCAATCTTACACTATGCATGGGGCCTAAATAAATAGACTAATTTAACTAATTCAAGTGCTGTTTTTTAATTTTTATCTACAAGTGAATTGTCGGAGAGACATTTTTCTTTAACAATTTCGATGTAACGATATCTATTAAACAATATTCTACATACGTCTATTTTAATCGTTTACTGTAAGAGAGGCAACAGATACCAAAGGGACATTCTATAATAATGTAAAATGTAAAAGAGCTTTTTAACAAAACCGCTACTTACGAATTTAACGTTTGTGAACTAAAATTCGAGTAAATACATTTCATAAAATCAGTGGAATATTTATCCATTAAAATCAAAATTAAATCAAAGCTAAAAGCCTACGTATTTGATTGCATAAGGTCAAGGAACAGTACATTAGCATTGTCACAGATTTTGGTAAAATTTGCATACAATTTTGTTTGTTGAATTTTAAATGAAAATCGAAAAAATAATGTTTTTTTCACTTTTGTATTTTGAAATATTACTGATTGAATTCTTACAAAATATAGAAAGGACAAAAACATCGGCGAAATTTTATTAATTTGTCTTAAAATCATCAAATTTTCAAATTGTAATATATAGATTTTTCTTGAAAACTATATGTTGTTTGAACAAAAATTTCCGTTTTGATGATCAAAAATAATCAGGCCTCTCTTAGAAGAATATTTGTGGTCTATAGCATTTTACTGAATTTAAAACTTCTGTCCCTTTGTTTTCTTAACCCTACTTTTAAAACTCCAGGTTTCGCCACTGTTATGTATATGAATTATAAACTTTTATTTACTGTAAAAAATATTGTAGCATGAAATGATATTGAAAATATTACATTGTATGAGTCCCTGTTTTCGGATCTAAAGACAGTTTTACAAAGAATCCAGTTATACATGAAATAAGCAACCCAAAACTGTACAAATATTGGTAACAAAAAAGCAATCCTAAGAATAAACACGTGGATTTAAGTATGCAAAAAAGTTAACCCTCCATAAGACTCAGGACATGCATAATGTATAATTAATTCTAGGAGACATATTCAGAAGTTTTGCTTATCAAACAAATCAGGCTGTAGGTTTCCTAGTTTCTCGTAACCAGCAGTTGTTAACTTCTACGTCAATTAGTCTCTGGTAGAGAGTTGTGTTATTTGCAATCGTCACACATCTTCTTATATTCATAATATATAGATATTGAATGTATATATTCTTTATACACACTTCTGTCTGTTTTCTATTTAGTAATGTTGTTGCACAGTTTCCATTTATAAATTTTGAAATTATAAAGAAACAATGGTTTCAACTCCCTCAGGCAAAGTTAGCCTTAGATGGATTTGGTTAAGTTTTGTTTAGGTCTTTTTGAGTTATATGGCTGTTCAACTGTTTCGGTTTTATTCATCCTTGGCTTCAAATATTCGGCTTTGAGCGTTCCTGATGAAGGTCAATCTAGAAAAGCGCTTCGGATGCATAAAATTTATAACGTGTTGTTTTTATTTTCTACTTGTGATTCAAAAGGAGCTTGAAATGTTAACATATGACCATCCTTTTGAAGTGGTTTTGATTTCCATATTTTCAATGTTTAAGATAAAATACACCGGAAATTACCGTTTCTTCACCGCAACTTATCAACGAATTTCTAGTTACAACTAGTAGCACAACCAATGCTACTGGTGGATTAGGAACTGTTTTCCCTTTCCGGTTCACCTGAGTTCACCCAAGGTTTTGGGTGTGGTTCATTATGCTAAATCTTTAGTTATCTATGCATTCTTTCATAATTGCTGTTTGTCTTTCTTTTTTTTTTTTTTGTATTTGGCTATAGTATTGGTTTTGTTTTTCATTTGAAGACTTTTGAATTGCCGCATTTAGATCTATACACTATTTTTAGTTTTAGTTGTATGAAGATTTAAGTGGAGTTATTTTCTCTCTATTGTTTTCTAAGTAACAGTAAACACAATTGATCGTAACAGACTCTTGACATCTATTTAAATGATTATATGATAATATGATAATAAAGTTTAAGTATGGTAATTACAAAAGGGAAGTTTATATTATTTCCATCTGTGTAGAAGCCAAGCGGACATATAACCTTTAATGGTATTTTACTGTCTATTTTTATATATTCTGACCTCTAGTAGCATAAATTCTCATTCCTCAACTTATACGATTTCCACATCCCTAATAATATTTGGAATGTATGTGTGTCATTTTGGCGGGTGCAACCACATAGATTTTTAGTTTCTTATCAAAACTTTTTATAATTGGTATTTGACTAGAATAAAATAAAAGATGAATTCTACATAAGAAACTAGTTATTCTGTGAAACATGTTCCCTTCTTCGTTGCATACGCACAAATGCAGTATTATAGATACATTCAGTATTTTATAAATATTGACCATGACGGGTTGTAATTAAATGCTGAAATAGTTTATTCAATGAATCCCCCAACGATCGCTAACGCCTTACATAAATGCATACTGACTTTATATGAGCTTCTTAGGAAGAATGAAAAGAAGCCAGCAATATCTTTTAATTTCAATTTCTGCAATTAAGATGATGTCTTCTCACTAAATAATTCAAATGTTTAATGACTTTGTTGAACGCATCTATCCCATCGAATAAAGGATAAAACAGATGCAAGTAAGTCTGCCTCATATCTTGAATCACATTTTAAATTGACAATGAGGGTCGATTAAGAACAAACCATAAACAAAAGAAATGATCTCAGCTTCAATTGTAATCTTTCCATTTCTATGTAGCCAAATTCCAGCAGCACCTGCATATAGATTTTATAATTCCCAGGTGATATACAAGGGCTTAAATATCCTATCAATATTTCCTTGATATAAGGTTTCTGCTCACAAGGAAGCTATCAAACAAAGTGTTCCAAGTAGTGAAGTTGAAATTATCCCTTTGAAAATTTAACGGACACCATCACGAGTTGGTTGACCGTTATGGAATATCTGTCTTTCAGATGACATCGGATTAGTTCCAATTGTCGAAATAACAATCCCGTTCTCTCGTTTCCCCGAATTAGACTTATCACCGGGTTTGGCTTATATAAGCAACACGACGGGTGTGGAGATCAATTCAGGTTTTTTGGTGGGCTTCGTGTTTCTCAGTCTTTGGGGTTTACTATGTTGTGTTTCCTTTTTTGCCAATTTATGTGCGACCATGAGATTAAATGCCCCCTTTTGTATCTTTCGCCTCTCTTGCAGCCAAATAATTAAGTTTCACAAAAAGGATTCTGATGCAATTTAAAACTGCTATAATTGTAATTATACAAACAGTGTGTGCCTGATTTAGGACTTTAATCGCGGGGGGAAATAACATTTTTGTTATGGAAATAGGACAGGTGCTAAGCAAGATTTGGGTATGTAAAGAAAGAGGAAACATGTGTATTTGCAGACCCATTCAGTGTTTTTAATTCTAATTTGTATCTACAACTTCACAGCTTAAACACATACGGAAATATCTTTGTGTCCTATTTCGCGTTTAGTCTATAGCCTTGCATAAAAAAGGTTGAACTCATCAATGTTTCCAATTGACGGATTGATGCTTACGATTTTTCGGGTCTTTGGATAACACATTTCTCAGAGCAGTGTTATTAACAATGTTAAGGTCACCAGTAATAAAGTGGCCAGCCGGGTTATATGTGAATGGAGTACCAGCATAGGGGCAACCAGAAGTTTTTGATATAAAGTTGTCGCTATTGTGATCCTGCAACACGAAAAGTATGTAACTGATCCGAGATGATAGCCAGAAGTTTTTATTGTCTTAAATGTGGGTTTGTAATCGTGGTTTCAAAACATAAGTTGTACAGAGAATGAAGTTTCGAAAGGGGAAGTGAATAAAGCTTTTTGCAAATGGGATGCATATACCCAACTGCTTTTGTAGAAATGGCAGAAGGCCGTTAATAAAGACATCATGGACAAAAGTGGATGCATAATGACGAGGAGTAGAGTTAAAAATAAT